CATTATGAAATGTACTCAGACCAAATAACCAATAGGACTCAGGTTTATTGCCAATAATAATACAGAAAAAATTTCAATAGGATATCAGTTTCTGGGAAGCTAGCTTGTGCAGCATTGCAAAGTTTACCTTACACAGAAGGTGTGCTTCCACATTACTAAATATTTCAGCTAGTAGTAATTATAGGATGACTTTTTGAGTTAAAAAAGTCTACATGTCACTAAAAATCAACCCTCCCCTCTCCTTTTGATACTAGTTCCTTACATTGTTGTTCTCCACTTCCCTTATCTTTGCTTGGATACTAACATTGCAGGTACCAGTCTGTGAAAGTACCTCCACAGCTTGTACCAGAGTAGAACATTAGTGTATTTTGCCTTTGACAATTTTCTTATGTTCTAATGCCAAAGTGGTCTTCAGCTTTGCAAAGTGTTATGGAATATTTAGCATAAGTTAACAGGATTATAAAAAGATAAGCCAGTTCAGCTTTATTTTCCTTCAATTTAAATTCACAGTTGTGCAAAATTATGTAGGGGGTCAGACAATTAGTCATAGCAGATGTTGAGATTTAAAAAGTTAAAGCTTTACAACCAGTCACAAATTATCAACATAGTATGCCAAAGTATATGAAGTAAATAACCTTAAATCAAATGCCAATAAACTCTCAAGCAGCATTTGTTACTTTGCCTACCTGTAAATTTTGATTATTGATGGAAAGTTTGCAAGTATATAGTGAAGTGGACATTGACCAACATTTTCCAGTAAAAATCTAATCTTTCCAAGCCTAGTCTTAAATTGTAAATGTCTTCACACAGTGTTTGCAGGGATATTATAGTACTATACTGTAATGGAGGGAATAACTACCAGGACACCATCCTTTCAGGCTGCTGCTATCACTTTGCAGAGCAAAATAGCATTGTCTTTCACACTCACAGAAGGAGAACATGCTGGAGCTTCACATGATAAAGTGGGGTGGGGGCGGGGGAGGAAGACAGAATATCTTTTAAGAATAGAAAAAAGGACTGGAAGAGTGGAAGCTCCCAACAACCATTTATTTCTGAACTGCAAACTTGAATATTCCAACAAAGTCATAATTTATTCAAAATCAGAAATTAAAGGAAAAGGGGTTGTCATAATAGGAATCATGAAGAACCTCATTGACTTTCTGCAATGACTGTGGTCCAAATCCTGCTGTGTGATGTCTACTACAGATAGCCTTTGATTGAAGTGTTTTATCAAGTTCTGCAGTAAGATAATGGTATAGTAATATCTAGCTCTATATAGCACTTTTCACAGAGGCCTGAATTTGTTTCACAGACAAGCCAAGTATCAATATCACCATTATTCAGATGGTGAAAACTGAGGCACAGAAGAGTAAAGTGACTTGCTCGGGATCACTAGGCCAGAAACTGAGCTTATAACAAAACCTAGGCCTTATTCTCCATAGTCCAGAGGGGCCTCACTGCTTCCCTAAAAATGTGTAGCAATTAAATAACCCCTCACCATGATAATCACTTACAAAAATTGGATTAAAAAAAGCAAGGAAGCCTTGCACAAAGCATTCTTCTGGAAAAGGATAAAAAACCCAAACATATCTAAACATTTTCCACCTCACTAACAAGCCATGGTCATGTTTATGAAATTGGCTGGCTTTCACAAATTGGAATGTAAATCAGATTTCTTTTTATTTTTCCTCCTCCCTCAGCACTACCACTCAAGATGATAGAGAATAATTACTGCCTGCTGAAAAGTGAAAGATGGGTAGTATGACTTTGTCAGTTATAGAAACACTTATGCAGCTAAAGAACCATTGGTCATGTTTAAATTGTCAGAACTCCAATCAGAGATTTCCAGTTAATATACTTAAAGACTACCTAGTAATCCTACAGGAGTATTTTAAAATAAGAGTAGACAGTTATTCTTCATTTCAACCCTATGCCTGTGGCGAGAATAGCATTTCTGAAGTTATTTATCATGATGTTTAGTGAAAGTCAATATACAATGGTAGTTCCAAGATAGCGTGCAGTTTCCTTCCGTTTGCAATTTTCCTCATTATTATGTGTAACCAAACACAGCAAAGGGTCAACTACAAATCATACAAAAGATGCATAATCAAGTTTTCCAGTAAGTTACAACACTAGCCTAGATTCTCCACCATGGTCAAGTGCCATTTGGAGACAGTGAAGTTGGATGCTACACGGCTCCTTGATCCCATGCCACCCAGCATCAGTGTAAGTTAGAGCTGCTGAGGAACACCTCTAAAAGCTACTGACTTGAGCTCTCCACACGTCTTTATGGCAGCAAAGACTCAATAGTATTGGAAATCTGCTCCAACAGGCTCTTTCTGATGCCCATTGTAGCTCTCATCTCACAATGCCCAGTGTTGATGGTGGGGACTGCAGTTCATGCTAAATTTCCACCAGAAATCATAGGGGAGTTCTCAGCTAATCAGATGGAATCCCCCCAGTCATTTTTAGCCAGTATGCTCTTGAGTGGTGCCAGCTCTTCCTACTCCCAGATCACATTCAAGTGTCTTCTTTGTCTCTTCAAGATCTTTCACAAGTTGGCTCCCTCTTACTTGCTTGTTTTGTTTGTTCCTTTTACTGTTTCTTATCTGCCCCCCAACCTCCATGAACTCTACTTAACCCAAGCCACAACAGAATTCTTCCTTCATGGTCTTTTCCCCCCCACCAATTTCCATGCCTTCTTTAAAGCAACCTCTTCTACCTGGTGCTCCCATAACAAATCATAAACACCATGTCTTCTCCATATCTTCCTTGAGTCTTTTCTCAAACCCAAGTTCTTCGGCTGCACATAAAACTTAGCTTTAGCGATATAGGAGCATTTGTATATATTACATTAAAAAGAGAGAGAGAGTTAGAAGAAATTAAGTCTGCAAAGTCAAGTACTCAAAAGTTAGGAAGTACCAGAATGAAAGTTGCCCCCACTCTCTTCAGCGTCCAAGAAAAACTGCAGAGCAGACTTGAGCAGGGTGAAAAAGTCCACAGAGTTTATCAATGCAGTTTCTCCAACATCTCTTGTTGCAGGGTCCCCTGCCGAGAGTGTTGGTAGGCCCCTCAGGCCTCTCCCAGGTAGCCAACCTTGAGCCAACAGTCCTTTATGATCAAACATAGTTCAAAACAAACTCACTGGTCCTGTGTAAGGCCTACCTTCCTCTAGCACAGCTCCAACAGTTCACCATCCCTACAGAAGTGCAGAAGCCATCCTTTCCTCACAGAATGAATGGTGAGAGGTCTGCTCTTCTCCTCATACAGCCAACAAGTAGGTGCTCTTCCTCCCCTTTTTAAACTACCCCTTAGTTACTTGACAGTGAGTGCAGGTGAAGCAGGGTGGGGCTGAGTGGACTTACAGCAGCTCAGTAAGCCTTGCTGACTCAGTGATGGGTTAATATACCCTTCCACACTGAACAACCTTAGTTCACCACCCTTGCACTTTTGATTATAATACTGTCTAATTATGTGATCACATACTATTTTTCCACC